AAAAAACAAAACCACAAGAGCTATTATCTCCTTGAATTTTCTATACAATGCTGAGCAGCATTCTGGGAAATGTAGTTCAGGGCAGGACCTTTTGCATTCTCTGGCATAGGGCTCCTCGCCTTCCCAAACTACATTTCCCAAAATTCTCTGTTTTCGCCATCTCTTTCCCAGCAAACTCTGCTTTCCCTCTCCTAATGGCGAGAGGACATTAATGGAAAAGGAAGGCAGCCTTTTTGGCTTTGTTTTGCTTCTTTGTGCTGAACATGAAACCGACTTTGGGAGGTTTCAGAGGTTTACAAAATGCAAATGAAAAAGTATTGAATAAGTTTAGATTCTCAAGTTTTTGGTGCAGGCCACGCCCACGTGTCAGATATTGCATCGTAAGTACAAATTTAATGAATTTGATACGACTTATTAATGGAAAAGGAAGGCAGCCTTTTTGGCTTTGTTTTGCTTCCTTGTGTTGAACATGAAACCAACTTTGGGAGGCTTCCAAGGTTTACAAAATGCAAATGAAAAAGTATTGAATAAGTTTAGATTCTCAAGTTTTTGGTGCAGGCCACGCCCACGTGTCCGATACCGCATTGTAAGTACAAATTTAATGAATTTGATACGACTTAGGACAACTAACAAAAAAAATTCCACAACCCTAGTAAGTATAGAAATGGGGCGCAGAGCCCAGTCCCACCTGTGGAGGAGCACCTTTTCAAAATGCAGCTGTCGGCGGTCCAGCTCCAGTTCTGGGCGGACCCCTTGGCAGGAGATCCGGAAGGTGATGGGCTCCGGGTTATCCTTGATGCAGCAGACAATGTTGTCCTCGAAGATCCCGCTGGCCGTGGGATAGGCCCAGACCGTCAGCAGCTGGGGGTCAAGGCAGAGGCCCAAGAGGAGGTCAGTTGGAAGGGTCACTGGAGGGGCCTTCTGGGCAAAGCAAGCGCCCGCTTCCTTGAGCCGTTACCTGCTTCTCGTTGGGCTTGAGGGTGAGGGAGCAAGGGTCCAGCAGGTAGGTGATGGCCCTGGAGTCGTACTGGAAGAAGAAATGCACCTCGGCCTCCAAAGGGGAGATGTTGAGGATGGTGATCCTCTCAAAGTGGTTCGGGTATCGAGACACCTTGTACCTGGGAGCAGTGGCAGGAGAATAAGCAAGGGTCAGAACGTCCACAGAAGGCCTGAACCTTCGCCTCAATCATCGTACTTCTTTTGAAGCTGAACTGCTAAGACCAAAAGCTACATGATAATCATCATCATCATCATCATCATCATTTTATTTCTTCGCTCCAGAATAATTAAAGCACGCAAACCTTGTAAACATTGTAAAACCTTCCCCTTCATCACATTGAAGCAATGAAGTGGATGAAAATATTTGGCTGAGTAGAGCTCCGTTTTTCAATGAAATTGATGAATTCCCTACTTTTATCACACTGTGAAATGTTATCCATGCAACTCAGTAGCATTCTGCATTCTTTGAACTAATGATAATGTATTGCCTAATGTTGATGCTAATGTTGATGGGCCTAGTTTGGAAAGTGAGGCTGAAGTGATCAGTGAGGACGAGGCTCAAGATGGAGACACTTTGGGCAGGAAAAATCCTAAAGCCTTTGATTTAGAGGCTTCAAGGGAAAAGCCAAGTTCTCATGAGAAAGTGAGGGAAGAAAATACACTTCCTTCCCAAGCTTGCAAGGTAACTTGACACCTGATTGGGTCAACGATAACAGCCGCAGTTTGGAGATTAGCCAGAACCACAGGGAAGCCCAATGTTTACGTAGGTCTGAGAGAATCCGACAACTGAAACCAAAGTTTACAGTTAGCTGGAATCAGGTTTTGGGATTTAAGAGTGGCCATGAGGGGGATTTCCTCAGACCAAGCATCGTTTAGTATCAAGTACGAACCTCCTGGGTTTCCCAGTTTCCAGTGGTCTGGTCTCTAAGGGAATTTCTGGGTTCAAGCGAGATTTAGCAGGGCTAATCTGTTCATGGATTTCTATTGAGAGTTTTTTTTGGACATTACTGCTTTGGATTTTCTGCAAGCTTTCTGGACATTGCTGTTTGCTGTTTCATTTTGACTTTTTTACCTTTGGACTTCTATCTATGTTATATTCATCATTCAATAAAAAGAATGGTATTTTTCCTAAACCAAGGTGTGGTGTATTAATGACAAGAGGGCCCTCTCTCCTGATCTGGAGTGCAACATCAATTGGATTACTTTTTTTTTTACTTTGGATTATTTTTTACTGCTTTGGCTACATATATTCCTAAATAAACTGCTTACTGATTTTACCCAGCTGGTGTAGTATTTAAAGTCAGACGTGTTTCTGCTCTGGAGTATGATGGGGGGCTGGTGGGAGGTGCCTAGTGATTAAAGTGTGATGGCAAATCTACTGAAAGAATGCTGAGTAGTACCATGGAGTACCACAGATAAAGTGTGATGGAGGTAGGGAAATAATCTATTTCATTTAAAAACTAAGTAAGACTGAGTAGAACACTTCCCTACTTCAATGTGATGAGGTGGAGAGTGTG